TCTAGAAAATAACTCAGTAATATGAAGATGCTGTTTTTGCATTTTCCATTTAGTCTTCAATCAGAAGGTGCACAATACAATTCTTCATAACACCCAACATTCAAGTATATCATAAACAAACATGCAAAAGACAACAGTTAAATCTATAATGAAGAATCCTCCCCCAAATCAATTTAGGCAAAATAAAAGTATGTATTACACAAAGGGGGGGGGGAGGGGGGGGGAAAGAGGGTGCCACAAAGCTCACAAATAATTGTCAGGAACAATTTCTCTAGAAAAAAGTAAACTAAAACTGTGAATAATTACAGCATTCAAGGGAAAAGAAAATGCCAAGCAGGGGTTAAAAAAAGTCCAAACTAGTTTAGCTCTTCTAAAAGTATCACTGAATTAGGTGCTGTTATACAGATACAATTTAGTGTGTATTACTTAGTATTTATTCTGCATATGGTTGTTACTTTATGAGTTATTAAGTGCAATCAAATTATTAATGCTCATGGGTGAGCACTAAATAAAGGGAGCAGACTGAATCCAGTCCATCGTACTCACAGTACCACACGTAAAATACATTCAGTTTGTTGAATATGGAACTCTAATTCACCAAAGTACAAAATGATGATGAACAAAGTAATTTCTTAGGGCAGTGGTCGGCAAACTCATTAGTCAACAGAGCCAAATATCAACAGTACAACGATTAAAATTTCTCTTTTAAACTTAAACTTTTTCTAACGCCACTTCTTCCAAATAGATTCACCCAGGCTGTAGTATTTTGTGGAAGAGCCACACTCATGGGGCCAAAGAGCCGCATGTGGCTCTCAAGCCACAGTTTGCTGACCGTGGGCTTAGAGTGAACTTCCTAGAGGTAAAATCGAGAAAAATAAAAAGTGGCAACCCTTAATATAAACATCCTACAATAAACAGACTTTTCTCTTAACTCGTTTTAATAGGGGAGAATGGCTTACTTCAAAGAGACATCTATAAATATATGTGAGGCCATATATCACAGTGTAATCCCTTTTTTAATAAGAACGTTTATGGATGTGGCAACTGAAGATCTGAGAAATTAAGTAATTTGGAACGAAAGAGAGGGACTCTGAACAGATAATATCTTCTAGTGCTGGTAACAGTCATAATAGAATGCTCACCACATAAAGTATTTAAGATGAAAATAATTCAAGTAATTTATCCCCTCTGGAGCTGGATACCATCGTCCAGTCAGTATTAAATACTGCTTGCTGAGAACAAATATTAGACATTCTTACTGAAAAATTTCTAAATCCCACCTTTATCAAAACAGAATCAAATGTTCTTAAGATGTTTTTTGGAATTTCTGACTGAAAGCTTTTAGATAATGAGACAAAAAAAGAAGGAAATTTTGTTTTCCTCTGTGGTAAGTCTTTGCAAACCAGCTCTTTAATGTCTTTGCACAGATACTGTCTTTGTCATGATTTCTTTTTTCCCTATCTCTTAATCCAGTGGTCAGCAAACTCATTAGTCAACAGAGCCGATTATCAACAGTACAATGATTGAGATTTCTTTTGAGAGCCAAATTTTTTAAATTTAAACTTCTTCTAATGCCACTTCTTCAAAATAGACTCGCCCAGGCTGTGGTATTTTATGAAAGAGCCACACTCAAGGGGCCAAAGAGCTGCATGTGGCTCGCAAGCTGCAGTTTGCTGACCATGGTCCTAATCCAATTCAGTATTCTTATGGGGAAATAGCAAGATTCTAGTTTCTTCTATATTGCTTTAAATCTTTTAGGAGAAATATTTATAGCTTAAAGAAAGTAATTTACATAATATTTATCACATATTTAATGACTAATTCTCAGTAAGTATCCTTTGTGATAAATAACACTAAATCCCAAGATAAGAAATTTCTGGGCTATGTGATTCCAAGATAGAATCAATTGCAAACATGGCGATTTTTATGTACAAATGGAAATCGGAACCAAGAATGAGCCTCTGGAGCGGTGGGAGTCCTGAGATGGGTGAGATTCTGAGCTCTGTTAAGAAACCTGATGGAAATATGTTTTGAACTCTTTCCCATCTCCTATTTCTAGAAGTAATTTCAAAAGAATGTCTGATAGTATCCTTTATGATATAAACATGCCTCATCACTCATGGAAAACCTTACCTACAAATACAAATACACCACTTTTACTGGCATCTACCTCTTCGGGAATTAGTCTCACATTCCAAATCTCAATGTGTACATTTCATAGTTTCTATTTTCTCTCAAATAGTTACTAAATTTTTCTTTCAAGATATTGTGGACAGCTACATACTTTTCTGTCAAGTTCCAACTGTCCTATAACTAATTAATATAGACCAGGGGCTTTCAAAGTTTATTATGCCTTAGAATCACCTGCAGCATTTGTAAAATGCAGACTCTTGGGCCCCATTCACTGTTGTCTAAGTGATTCTAATACAGGTGGGCAAAGGATCAAACTTTAGAATTCTGGTCTAGGCGATTCTTAAATTTATGGCAACCTGCATTCCTAGAAAAAGTGCAGTAAATCAAAATGTCATCAGCTGAGCCCTGTCCAGGTGGCTCAGTTGGTTTGAGTGTCTTCCTGTACACCAAAAGGTTGTGAGTTCTAGTCCTTGTCAAAGTGCATATGGAAGACAACAGATCAATACCTCTCTCTCTCTTCAATCAATAAACATAGCCTTAGGTGAGGATAAAAAATGTCATCAGTTGAGTCTCATTTTCTCCTATAAAATTACAAATTTTATGAAGGGACTGGTTTCACATTTTCAGAGATGTGGCTCAACATCATACTTTTGTCACCAGTCTACTGCTGTATCTGCTGTATAAAGCCTTTTTGAGAATAAAGAATAATTAAGAATACAGCAAATAATTATAAAGGACTTAATATGACAACTATCAGTCTATCTCACAAAACTTTTTAAATATAATTCTTGCCTTATTTTTACGGCAACATAAAACATCTTAAGACTTGGAATTTACAAGGGTTTTCTCTAAGACAGTGGTCGGCAAACCACGGCTTGCAAGAACGTGCTTTAATCAGATTGAGGATGTTTTTTAGCAAAGGGCAGCTTAGGAGTACCCTAATTAAGTTAATAACAATCGTACTGTTGATATTTGGCTCTGTTGACTAATGAGTTTGCCGAGCACTGCTCTAAGAACATCAGCAACTTTAAGAAAATTTTTCTTTCTTTTTTTGTTCTTAGGAAGACTTGATAATATTTAGACACTTGGTACTCTTTCAGAAATTAATCCAAAGTATTATTTTACTACCCCCTTTACTTGCTGAATTTTCTTGCAGCGACATGAGGGAGCTGGAGGATGTGAGTGTTCCTTAACATCTCTGACTTCACCTTGCCCTATTTCACCAGCATGGCGGCACCACAGGATGCTGCTGTGCTATTCCGCTGCAACTGATCTCCTAAAACAGCAGTCTCATGTGGTCCAATCTAAATAACCAACTGCCTTTACAAAGCACCTAACAAGCCATTACAATATATTTCCCATCCACTGATCCTTCACCTTGTACTCTGCTTTAGTTTCCAAAGTCTCAAAACTCTGGCTTAAATGGTAATCAGACTCAAAGGCATTAAAAAGTAGTTTGTTTTGGCCCAACAATTTCTTTACATTTTGTCCCAAAAGTACTACATAACAATATCCAAATGTGCATACATGTTTATATGTAACAATCACTAGGTTGCTCCTTTTCACACTTTATTAATCATTTTATTTTATTCAAAATATTATATGGATGTCCTCATTGGATCTGCCTTCAATACCAGTTTACTAGTTGAAAAAGAAAACTAAACAAGATCTATTAAATGTCAGCGCTTCATAGCAAGTTATTCTGCATCAGTTGGTTCCTTTAGTTTCTTTTCCCTTTTCTCCTCCCTGCCCTTGTTGGACATCACTTTCCCAGCTGTTCCAGGACAGAGAGGCAGTGGTGGTTCTTGAGAATAGAAACCAGCCACCCAAGAAAAAGCCCATAACTAGAGTGCAGCTGAAAATATCTCAGCAAGCAGTGGGATCTGGGATCTGAGGCCACGTTTGCACTCTCTATACGAGGAAGGACAACTATCTGAGCCCTTAAGAAGAAAAAGAATGAGTTTCAAAACCAAAATTGAGAATTCAATGCCCTACTCTATTCCTTCTACCTTCCCTCATACACAACTATGAAAATTATCATTTTTTATACCACACCGCACCTTACTATTAAACCTTGCAATAAATTTAAGTTATAATTTCTAAAACTCAACCACTCCAGTGTGACATATTCAAACCCCAAATAATTCCATCTCATGCTAACAATCTGCACTTACATTGCAGTCAATCTTTTCCACCATCCTATGACCCATCTAATCCAAGCTTAACTTCTCAGAATGTTACCTTTTTTTTTTCTTAATCCATTCCCTAATTCCCCTTATAGTTTTCCTTCTATTTATAACATCTATTAATCTGTCCAGAAAACTTAAATACTTATTTATTTAATATTTATTACAAATGACTTTCAAAGTTTTATGTTTACTAATTATTCCTCAATAAATACATTTAGTTAGAATTCAGGTCAAGGATACAGTTAATCAATTGGGATAATACTTATGAAAGCATTCTGAAAATATATGTCTAATTTAGCTTTTAAAATGCTAACTACAATTAGAACCAATAACATTTAGCTAAGGATTCTAAATATACATTATTAAATTGATGACATCTGAGAGTCTATATGTTCTGTGTACAATATTCTCACTTCAAAACAAATTATAAAAATAATATTTGAACAGTGAAAGCCAAACCATTTGTTACCAATATTTGCCTGAGATGATACCAACATATTTGAAAGAGTCAGAGAGTTAAACCATGCAGTAACACATAGCTTTAAAATGGCAGTCCAGAAATTTAAGGAAACATACAAGTTCAACAGTTTGGACTGATACAAATTTCAAATGCATGAAAGGTTATTTTGAGAATATTAAAAATAATTTGAGGCCTATTTATTTTATTAAAGTACTCACCTGACTCTTGCAAGTATCTATATACCAAGAAGTTGACCTCATCACTGCTTATACTCATCTTTATTCCCACTTAAACCATGAGGTCACAACACAGGATATAACCCTAAAAATAAAACAAAGTCAATTAAGTATTTTCTCAATAAAATATTTTAAACAAAATGTAAACAATGTTGTAAAAACCATTTGATTTTATTAAATGATGAAAAAAACAAGGCTCTATATTGCCTCATAATGAACCCTAACAAATAAAGTTACTTCCAATAGTTAGTAATAGATTATACAACCAAAACATAGCTGAATCTATTTTTCTGCAAGATAATAGAAAATCATTGACAAAAATGATTTCAATTTTATAAAAGGGTTTTAGCATCACATTTTTATTACATCAAACAGCATAAAAAGTTGTTCCTTTATTTCTCCTTAACTGTAAAAATAGTAAATTTTAAGAATCAGAATATTATTTATTTAGACAAGATGGATTTTAAACCAAAGGCTTGTTAGAGAGTGAGCCGATTATCGACATAAGGTTATGTCTACGTAATTTCATAGGATTTGAAGTCTCTATTTTGTCAACATCTAATCTGCAATGTTCAAGTTTCCAAAAGCTCTAGGTATATAAGGCAGAGAGGTTGGAATACAATACTGAAAACTCAAATGATGTTCTCTTATCTTAATGTGCATCTTTAAACCTTGAACCAGGAGAAAGGAGAAAAAGGAAATTGAGACATAACTTAAATATGGCTAACTATACTTACCCATTCTCAGGACATAGAGTGACCTAAAGCAGTACTCAGCAACCTTTCTTTGTACAGAGCCAGATAGTGAACATGTTAGGCTTTGCCAGCCATACTCACAAACATATTACCCAACCCTGAGGCTATAGCACAAAAGCAGTAGCAAACCATATGTATGCAAATTAGTGTGATTATATTCCATTAAAACTTTATTTAGTGACACAGATATTTCAATGTTATATGGCTTGTTGTCATAAAATATTTTCCTTTTTGATTTGTTTCCAAGCATTTAAAAATAAAACTTTCTTAGCAGTGGTCCTTATAAAAGGCTAACAGACCAGATTTGGTCCACAGACTAGTTTCTTGTTCTTTGTTTAAAAAGGATACACTAACACCTAGTAACAAACGGGTTCTAGCATTATAGGCCCATGCGGATTGCTCTGCCACATCACGGATCCTTCATTGGGCAGATTTCACAGGATACTTTAAAATCACAAATTAACCAAACATTTTAGTAGACTCCTCCTTGACAGGAACTGCTACTGCCCTACATTGTGGCAATTGTGACCAAGCATCACCCAACTTGTACCTCAGAAAGGAAGAAAGATAAGAAGATGGGAAGAATTTTCCAGTGGGTGCACCCAGAGGAAACCCTAACCGATTTAGAGCCTGGGAATACAGCCTAAGGAAAGTGGCATTGGTGTTTCAACCTGAAGGACAGACAGGAGCAAAGGGAGAACAGGAAGGTTTGGGGGAGGAACCCAGAAACGGAAGCAATCCAGTGAGCACTAATGTCAAGGAAAGGAATGAGCGAGGAAAAGAGAAACAAAACCCGTATTCTGAAAGGCCTTAAAAGCATCACCTAGAGAAAACTAATACACTGACAAGGTTTTAAGATGGTAGGTGAATGACCTGATTTACTTTTTTTAATCCTCACCCGAGGATAAGTTTTCATTTATGTTAGAGAAAGAGAGAGGGAGGGAGGGATCTATGGAAAGAAAAGCATTGTTTAGTTGCCTCAGATACATCCCCTGACCAATCCACAACCTAGGTATGTGCCTTGACCAGGAATCTTGGTGCATGGGATGACGTTCCACGAAACGGAGCCATCTGGCCAGGACTGATTTAAACTTCAAAAAGATTATCCTGACGGTGATCTGGAGAATAGACTGGAAGGAAACAACTGGAAAAGGGAGTAAAGGGAAAGGAGGATGTTGGAGAAATCTAGCTGAAGACCAAGAAACTGGACTACACCACTGGAACTGACGGGGGAAGTACCGGGATTCCCCAGTTACTGAGGAAGTCGACTCGGGTGACTGATTGGACACAAGGATGAGGAAAAGGGAGACTCAAAGGTTTCTTTTAGGACATCTGGATGGGTGGTAATTCCATTTACCGAGATGAGATAGCATCTTGGTAAATGGAATTAGATAGAGTAACAACTATCTTGATATAAAGAAAGGAACTTTGCCAACAAAATTAACTAAAAGAGTACAATTAATCACCTGAATGTTCAACCTTCATGGGGACACATTCCAAGAACCTTAGTATCTGAAAACCCAGATAGTATCAAATCCTATATAGACTTCTGCAAAAGTAGCACAAATTTCTTTCCCTCTTCACAATTTCTCACATAGAAAATACATTTTTAGGATATATCTTAGCAACCTCAGCATAGGATTTTTTTTCCCCTTTGCTTATTACATTGAGAGCTTTCACCTTTTCACTTAAAGGAAGCACTTTATGGCTTCTCCTTGGCATATCCAAATTGCCAGCTTCATTACTCTTACAATTTGGGGTCATTATTAAATAAAATCAGGGTTACCTGAACATAAGCACTGCGCTACCAAGAGAGTAGATCTGATAAGCAAGACAGCTATGAAGTGACTGCCAGGTGGGCAGCATACACAGCGTGGAGATGCTGGACAAAGGGAGATAATTCACATCCCAGGCAGCACAGAGCAAGATGACATGAGATTTCATCATGATACTCAGAATGGGACACAATTTAAAACTTATGAATTGTTTATTTTTGGAATTTTCTATTAAATATTGTTAGACTGGTTGACCAGGAGTAACTAAAAGCATGGAAAGTGAAACCGTAGATAATGGTGGGGCTAAAGTACTTACTGCACTTTGGGGTAATAAACCATTCCAAACAAATGCATTTGTGGAATGAGATAGTGACCAGTGAAAAGCAAACACTAAAATGGTCATATAATTAACAAAGACTATGGGGAGAAATGCATTAAAGCACAATTTTTTTTCTGATAGATTTATTTTATTCACTCATCCTATACTTCATTTGAGCACTTCCAATGTGCCAGGTATTCTGACAGATGTTGAAGACATAGCTAAATAAAGTAGACCAGGGCAAGGCCTTATGTCTTTCCAGGTTGGGGAGCAAAACAACAAATAATTACAACTGAGATAAGAAAAAAATATATAAAATTCTGAGAGCACATACCCTGATCTGAGTGTTCAGGCAGGCACCTATAAATGGCCTACAGGTTTCTGTAATAAGCACAGTGTTAGAGGAACTAATATTCCTCTTAAATCAAATTATATGGATTATATCGTTACCTTTGCTCCTACCTGTAGGCACAATGCTCCTCATTATTTGCATGTTAAGGAAAATGAGGCAAAGAATATTTACACTTATTAACAAGAGGTCTGGTGCACAAAACTTATGTTTGGGGATGTGTGTCCCTAAGCCCAGCCTGCACCCTCTCCAATCTGGAACCCCTCAAGAAATGTGAGACTGCCCACTTAGGACCCATCCTACCTCTCACAATCCAGAACTGCTGGCTCCCAACTGCTTGCCTGCCTGCTCTCTCCAGCTCCGTGGCTGCCTCCATTTTTGTTGGGATTTATTTATCTTCTATAATTGAAACTTTGTAGCCTTGAGTGGAGACCTGGGCCAGCAAGGGCAGGCAGAAAGCTTGGCTTCCTCCATTGCCAGGGAAACCCAAGCCTTACTGCCTCTAACTGTTTCTGTCTGCCAGCCTGATCACCTCCTAATCACTCCCATGCCAGCCTGTTTGACCCTAACTTCCCTCTCCTGCAGGCCTTGTCACCCCTAACTGCCTTCCCCTGGTAGGCCTGGTTCCCCCTCAACTGCACTCTCCTGCAGGCCTGGGCCACCCCCCCCCCCCAACTGCCCTTTCCTGAAGGCCCAATAGCCCCCAACTGCCCTCCCCTTGCAGGCTCCATCATCCCCAACTGTCTTCCCTTGCAAGCCTGGTCCCTCCAACAGCCCTCTTTTGCAGACTGGTCCCTCCCAACTCCCCTCCCCCTGCTGGCCATCTTGTATCCACATGGGGGCAGTCATGTTGTGTGTTAGAGTGATGGTCAATTTTCATATTATTCTTTTATTAGATAGGATTAGCTATGATAGAGGCCTGGTGCACCGGTGGGGGCTAACTGGTTTGCCCTGAAGTGTGTCCCAGATCAGGATGGGGGTTCCTTTGGGGCATGGGGCAGCCTAGGTGAGGGGCTGTGGTTTGTATGCCGGCCACACATCCCCAGTGACTCTAGTGGAGACCCTGGTATCTGGGATTTATCTATTTTCTACAATTGAAACTTTGTAGTCTTGAGCAGATCCAAGCCTCCTGCTCTCTCCGTGGCTGCAGCCATTTTTATTGGGATTTATTTATCTTCTATAATTGAAACTTTGTAGCCTTGAATGGAGGCCTGGGCCAGCCAGGGCAAACAGAAAGCGTGGCTTCCTCCATTGCCCAGGAAACCCAAGCCTCCTGTTCTCTCCGTGCCCACAGCCATCTTGGTTGGGTTAATTTGCCTACCCGCTCCTGACAGGCTGGTGGGTGTAGCAGAGGTATGGTCAATTTGCATATTACTGTTTATTAGATAGGATTTCTACATGCTATGCAAGAGCTAGGCTTTTGTACACATTATTTCATTTCCTCTTCAGTGTTCTATTCCTCATTTTAATGTAAGAACATTGACATATATATAAATCTATGTATTCAGAAATGTTATTCAAAAACTAAACTGACTTTGCTCAGTGTAGGAAAAAAAAAAATGGAATGTATAATGTAAAATAATGTAATGACTATAAAGAATCAAAATTCTTAGCACTAGAGGGTCCTAATAAGTTCCTAATTCCAAGTTATGATATAAACTGCCAATACTCAGAATAGGATATGAACTAGCAGCACTGGCTAGTCTCGGCAGTCACAAACAGACCACTACAATTCCCTGCTAAACATAACTGCTTTAAACACAAATTTATTTTGTTGTTGGGGGTGAATTCTCCATCTGACCTGAAGCAAAATACAGTTCAGCTGCTGCCCTGCAACCCACT